AGAGAGAGAGGGAGAGAGAAAAAATCGTTCCATTTGCTCATTTTGTACTTTTTCACAATCATTATTTGGTTTGTGTTTTGTAGAAATTATCAATTACTTATCAGTCATTTGTTAGTAATGTTATCAAACTTTTTTCTTCCATTTTTATTTTTACTACTTTCTTTTTTTTTTTAAATTAGGAGAATATGTCTTTTTGTAGTAAAATTTGTGAATTTAGTTTTTTTCTTTCAAAATTTGATTTTAAGTAAAATTTATGAAATATGTAAATTTTTAGGGAAATGAAAAAAACGAATAATATAATAGTTATGTCTTAAAAAAAAACCTATCCCGAATATTCTGAAACATTGGGAAATCTCGGAATCATTATTAGGATATTGTTGTTTTATTGTTGTCGTTGTTATTGTTGCTATTGCATGGAAGATTAATTATTAATAATTATTTATTGATGAATGTAGTTAGGAAATCTTGTGGACACCGCGATAATGCAGGGAAAGATTCCAGGAATCGTGATGTTTGTGCTATATTTAAAGTATCATACATTACTATTTGATTGCTATTTAGAGAGAGTAGAAAAAAAAAATGTTGAAAACAAAAAGATAAAATTGATTAAATAGCGAATATAATGTGATTTATATGTGTTCATACTTTTTTCAATTACTTTCCAACTTACTTTTTAGACATTTTATTAACTTATTATTCATCAGAGTAATCAGCTCATTAACTTGTCTCATTTATTGCTAACTTATAATATACACGTATCTTTTCTTGGCCTCTTATCACTGATTATCATAATATTTTACGATATAATCAATCATTAAATATTCATTAGAAAAGTATATTCCATTGAACGAAGGAAGGAAGATTTGTCTAATTTTCATGCTATCAACAAATGATTATTGAATTCTCCCTTCTCTCCATCTTTTTCTCCTTACTACAAACATTCTTAGAAATGAATTCATCTGTCAAATTATAATTCAGCCTATTATTCCGTCTTATCATTATCTTTGAAACTTTATGATAATGTGATATTATTATGACTAATGAAATCTTTTCAAATCTTTAGTGAGATATTTGTGAAAAAAACAAATTTTCTTTCAAATTAAATTACATTATATGTTCAATGTTGCATTATCTTTCATCACTTTAAAATTAATCATTTATCATTTTTATCAGTGAAAATATTAAAAATTTGAATAATTCATGAGAATGAATAATTCTAATCATTAATTATTTGTTGCCTCTTGTAGATGATATGCTGAACAATATGGACGATAATAGTAGCGCTGATGATGATGATGATGCTGATGATGATGATGATGATGATAATGATGATGGTAATAATAATAATTATGATGATGATGGTCATGACGATGATGATGATAATAATAATAATAATGGAATATTATGGAATCGTATCGTTGACCTTGAACACCAAGTTCAATCACATGAGAAAGAACTTGTAATTTATACTTCTCTTCATCTTTTTCTTTTCTTCTCACTTCAATTATATATGCACTAATTCCACTTATTCATTTTAAAATTTTATCGACAAATTTATCCATCTTTTCATCTTTCTTACTTTTCTCATTTCTAAATATTAATTATAACAGAGTGAATGAAATTCACTCAAAAATGCTATCAAATTTTGCATGAATAATTTTTGCTATCATTATTACCTTCTTCATTTTCATGAAGACAGTTGCGCCTCATTCTCAACACATTCATTTAATCGTATACAGTAGACAATTGCGCTTCATTCTCAACACATTCATTTAATCCTATTCAATAGACAATTGCGCTTCATTCTCAGCACATTCATTTAATCGTATTCAATAGACAATCAATAAATGTAATTAAAATTATCGATGAATTAAATTAATCCGACTAATACTAATATTTAGGTTGACTTACAAAAGTTTAATATATTATCGATTTATTTCTTCAAAATCTTCAAATTTCGAAATATTAGCATTATCAATATTCAATTCTGATATATATGTATTTTTTTTTTTGCTAATGACATTGATCACATAGTCACATAGTATTGACTTGACATTTAATGTCTGTCCTTTTTCGATGCTATCATTTGGTGGAAAAATTTTTCCAATTTGATGGCAAAAAAAAAATTTTTTTCCTCATTTGACCTATTTAAATGTTCTAAATTTGTTGCCTATTTATTGCCAAATTTATCTAAGTTTCTTTTTTCTTCTATTTTTTAATTTTACTATTTCATATCATTTTTACAAACTTGAACTTTCCATGCATTTTCATAATTTTCTATTAATTCATTTGATTGTTAAGTTTAATCTTTGATTAATTATTTGTTAATTTTTTTTTGAATTACTAATGGAATGTAGTCGATAACATTATTTTTCCTTTTTTCTTCGAGAAAAAAAAAACGAAATTTTAAGGATTTGTATTTAAATATTATATAAATGAGGAACTCACTGAATCATCATTTTTTTATATTGGCTTTTGCAATCAGAAATGTTTTTAAGGCTTTCGTAGCGCGAATTTGCGGGTGTTTTAGAATCCTCCCTGCCATCATACATTTTCAGAATCTTCCTGGTCATCACGCATACCACTGTGGATCATTCAGAATTTTCCCTGTCACCATACATTTCATTTGTAGCTTTTGATCATTCAGAATCCTCTCTGTCATCATTCATTCCATTTGTACCTTTAGATTCTTCAGAATCCTCTCTGTCATCTCATTATATTTCATTTATGACAAAAAAAAATCTTCGAATCTTCCAGGATTCTCGCTATCATATATTTATTTTTCTTTATCTTCCTATCACTATTTGCTTTACAGTTCAACTGTATTCCTTCTCCCGTTCCTCTCTTTCCCCGCCTTTTCCCATTCATCTATTTATCCGATCCAATTTATTTAGCTCAATATCATCATCCTGAAATCAATCATTCACTACTTTGCAGATGTATTTGCGTTCCACAGCAGCCGAAACATTACGTCGTTTAAATGATCTCGAACAATCATTACAAATCTCAGCCACAAATACCACCGCCATGATCACTATCACAACAACATCATCATCATCAACAACAACAACAACAACAGCAACAGTTATTTCAAGTCCTTCGATGCAAGCTACCTCATCACCATCATCACAAATATTGCATTTAACCCCAAGTTCAGGTAGTTCCTTTTTTTTTGTTTTAACTAATTGAAACTTATTAATTACTTTCTCTTCTCATTTTCACGATATATTTTTGCTTTTAAATATATATTACATACTGCATTGGAAGATTATTTATTTAAAGAAATGATTCATTCTCAGAAAGATTGAATGGAATATTTCAGCATTAATTGATAATAGTAATTTAATTTAACAATGAAAAGCAAAATAGTTTGCTGGGAAATATTTTATTCTAAAATTGTAATTTAATTAATTTCTCACTGATTAATTTAATTTTATTTCGCTTTCAACCTTAATTAGGATTTTAAATAATTTTATTTTTTGAAAATTTCAATATTCTCCCTAACTTTAACATACATTATGCTAAAAATGCTAAAAATAAAAATAATAAGTTAAAGTTTCCAATAATTTTTAGGATAAATTCTATTCATCAGATACATGAAGTAATGATTCCTTATCATTTTTTCTTCTTATTTTATCCTAATCATTTATTGATTTCATTCAGATAACAAGCAATCATCACAGAATTGCTTCATTTCACGTTCAATGCATAATTTGCATTCATTAACATCAAAAAATCGACCATTAATTAATGGGCATGCACTACATCCTACCACTAATGAAAATGACAATCAAATGGTATCAAATCAGAATTTATTAAATGGCCCACGAAGAGTTGTAAGTCTACATTTCTTTCTGCATTTTTGTAACTTTCCCATAATATTGTCGCATGTAGTGTCACAATATTCTCATATATTATCTCAATTTTCGTGCATAACATTCACAATTTTTTTTTATCTTGTGATTGATGGATTTATTTTACATTAATTCGAATCATTCATTTTTGAAATTATTTAGTTGAAGATTTTTTTAATTAAATTAGAAATTGTTTAAATGACATAATTAAATTAGAAATTATTTAAATAACGGATTGAAAATTATTTAATTAAGCATGGCATAAATTGGATTAATTGATGAAATATTCAAATGTTTGAGAAAGATTGTTTAATAATTTGATGATTTAATGATCTAAAAGATGATCTAATCTAATTTTCATCATTCTAAAATGATTAGTTGAAAAATCGATAATTAATTAGTTAAGCATATCAGCAATTAAAATTTTCTGATAATAAAAATGTCAGACATGTATACATACATTTACAATGTTCATTAGCAAATGATTTGTTATCTTTTGTTCTTTCTTCTTTTTTTTCTTTTTTGAAAAATTTTGAAATTTTAAACTTGAATAGAATATAGAAATATGTGCAATATATTTAAAGTCTGAATTCTGAAACATTCATATTTTGTGTATTGAAGGAAGTAATGGTATCATTTCTCTCTCTATCTTTCTTTCAAAATTCTTGTTTACATATTTTTCATTCTCTATTGTTTACATATTTATTTCTCTCTACTCCTTTGTTTACACAGCATATTTATTTCACTCTCCTTTCTTGTTTACATATTTATAACTTTTCCTATTCTTTGTATATTTATCATGTATTCATTTTCTGTTAATTTCTATACATACTAAATTTTTCGGAAATATATAAACTTTTTTTCTGCAATTTAAAACTATTAATTTTATTCATTTGAATTTAAAATTATTTTTCCATTTGCTAATTCTATCCATTTTAATAACGGAAAAATAAATATTTCAATAATTTTTCTTTTTTTTTTCTCTTTCTCTCTCTCTCTCTCTTTCTCTTGCTCTAAACAACTGGTGGAGAAAAAAGAAAAAAAAATGAATAATGATTAAAAGTTTTAAGCATTTGTTAAAAGTCTAAGATAATGAATTGATTGACTAAATTTCAAAAGTTTTAGTTCCTACATCATAGCAATAATGGATGATAAGAAATTTATTTTTGCTTTTTAATTTTTTTAAATATTAATTGTGATAATTTAAAAGAAATTTAATGATAATACTTTGAAAATGGTTGATAATATAAATTAATTTTGAAAATACCTATATTATACAATATTTTAGCATTGTAAAAGGAATTATTTGAGTGAATTTTTCCACAATTTTAATAACTTTTCCAGTTTTTCGATCTTTGATTTTTAACCTTTCATTAAGTTTACCAATGGAACATAATTGAGTACTTTATAAACTTTGCAGAATTACCAGCCTTTCGATAGCTATTATTATAACACTTTATAATTCTTTTCCAACAAACAAAGAAAAAGAAATGGATTGTTTTTCAGTCTGTTGTGTAAGCAAATTCAGTATCAGGATGTTATAGATATCGGAATGTCGATCAATTCAGTTTACAGGATCAGGAAACGAATATTAAAACATCAATGACAACGATACGAATGAAGAAATGGTTGAGTAGTGCCGATGTGAAGTGTAGTAGAGGAGGAGGAGGAGGAGGAGGAGGAGGACGACGACGTAATTCGCGAGATCATCTAATGAGGAATAGTAAAGTTGGTACATCAACTAATTTATCAACAACTGATTTATCATATTGTAAATCAACAAGGTACATTACAATATATTTATCTTTCTTTATCACTTCTACATATTTTCTTCCTTTAAATGGTCTTATCATTTTATCATTTCTCTCTACTTTTTCATTTTTTTTCCAGTTTTTTTTTTCCTTTTCCCTAATTAATTTTAGCATTAATTCATTCTATTTTAGTAAACTTAGACCAACAAACAGTTTAAATATTTCACAACATTCGTTATTACGTTTCGGGTTAGTTTTTTTTTCCGATACACTTTATTATTAAGAAAAAAAAAATTCCGTACACTTAGGATGTAAACGAATTCAAGCATTTATTTTAAGTTAATAAAGTAATAAGTCTCTTTATTTGTTATTTTATTAACTTAAAATAAATTTTGAATTGACAAAATGTTCTGATAAGAAATATAGTGATTTCCGAAGTGATTTTTTAATAATATTCTATGATATTCTTGTATTTTGATATAGTAAAACATATTTATACAAATTCAAATGTTTCCTTAAAGGTTTTTCTTGAAGAAAATAATTACAAATTATATTTTAACGATTTTTTTGCATTTCTGTTCATTTACAAGAGATAACATCAAAACTTCATATAATTAAAATGGTAATTAAAATTGATTTATTTAGATTAGAATTACGAGAGCCATCATTTCTATGTGAGAAAGGTGTGCTACAGATATTTGTAAACGGTAAAACGGTACATCTTCCAGTACCTAATTCAATAACCAATCTTGATCTTACATGTCAACTTAATGCACCTCAATGTGAACCGACACTTAATTGGGTTTATGGGTGATTTCTTTTTTTCTTTTCATATTATTTAGCTAATGATAATTTAAATGTTATTATTCATTTACTGAAATTTATCCTGAAAATAACTCTTTGTATTCATCAGATATTCACAATCTTTTGAATCAATCCTTGTTTTTTTTTTTTTTCTTTCAGTTATCGTGGTAAAGATTGTCGTGGAAATCTTCATGAATTGCCAACTGGTGAAATTATCTATTTCACGGGTACCATTGTTATATTACATAATCCTAATGAAGGATTACAACGATATTATACTAAACATACCAGCGATATTAAATGGTTTTCATTTTTATTTGTATCATTTCACAATCTTAGATACTTACAATTTGGAAGTATTTCTAATTGTTAAACTATTTATAGTTTTTATGAAATGATACTCGAGAATATACAATTACTTATGACTCACTTACACTTTATTATTATAAATAAGTTATAAAACTATGATAATTTTATACTTACAAGTTATTAAGAATTCATAACTTATTCAAGTTTTACAACTTACATATACTTATAGTTAAGTAAATATACGTACATTATTTACGATTAAGTTACTTTATAGTCTTGTACCATTGTATCACTACAATTACGTTTCATACTATCAAGATTACAAATATGTATGATATATAAGTAAAATATAGAATTACTGCATCATTTATTATTCTGAGTTCCATTTTTTTTCTAATAAATTATTAATCGTAATTTAAGATTGAATTTCAGCATAGCTATTCATCCAAATAAGCTACATATTGCCACCGGTCAAACATCGAGATATTTTCTGGAAAAAAGCGTAAGTCTTTAAATTGAAATGAACATTATTTAGATAGATCTATTTACTTATTTGCTGTGAATTTTCTTAAAACCATACTTTTCTTATCATTTCTCCTTCTACCCTTGTGATTACCTTAATTCAATGAACACTTTCAGGTATGATTTCATAATATAATGAATGATACAGGTTTCAAGTTTTAAATAGTTATAGCAAATTTCATTTTACACTTTATTTTTTTACTGTTTAATGTATCTTTAAAATTAATTCAAAAATTAATTATTTCTATTATGAGTGCATGAATAGAAATATGTCATCATATTAAGAATTATTAGATATTTGTGAATTTGTAAAATAAATTATGCAATTCATAAATCATATCATATACTTAGTTTTTTTTTTCTATCATTTCATTATAGGGTTTCAACTTTTATCGATCACCAATATCTTCAATCACAGAATTGAACAACATTTTAGAAACTGACCAGTATAAGGTTTTTCTTTTTAGTTTTTTTAAATTATGCAATTTAATAATTCCTTTGAACAATGCTTGATATTATTATATCATTTTACGATGATAAAGAAAGAAATATAATATTTGATTGTCCACTCATTAAAAATCCCTATCTATACTTCTCAACGATATTAATATAAAATATTATCGATTTTATCCGGTCATCGATCGCTAAATGAGGCAATTTTAACTGTTATCAAGATATAATCTATTAATTTTTATCGATAATTTGCCTAAATTTTATCCAACAAACAATATACTATTAAAGCTTCTCATTTTAATCATTCTTTCAATGTGATTTTAATTCATTTATTTATCAAACAATTGTTTAATTCCTATAAATCGTAATGGTTTAAATATGTAAATTTATTTTCAGGAAAGAATAATGTATGATATTAAAAATCAATAAATTCAGGCTCATGTACGTATTTGGGATTCAGTAACATTACAAACGCTACGCATAATTGGAACAGGTAATGCAAGTGCAAATTTTGATCGAGGTGTTCAATGTTGCGCATTTAGTCATGCTACAACAGATGGCATGCAACTTGCAATTATTGATGATTCTTACGAACATATACTTAGTGTTTGGGAATGGCAAAAAGGAAAAAAAATCGCAGAAATCAAGGAAAGTTTCCAAGTTCTTCTTTTTTTTCTTCTCTCTCTCTCTCTCTCTCTCTCTTTCTACAACTATAATAATTTATGCGTCGTTGTTGATAGCTTTGTCAAAATTGGCATTAATTATTCAAATTAGTTGCGAAGAATTTTCATATCTTGTTGTTTTAAATTGGCATTAGTTATTAGAGGATAAATTTTATATTATTTAAGAAATGATTGTAAATTAATAAATGATATTAATTCATTTCGTAAGAAATTCTAAGATTAAAATTAATTCTTCAGCTTAATAATTGTATTTGATAGAAGTATCATTCTGTAAAAAAAAAGAAAAAGAGTGTTGTTATTTAGAGATAGTTGGAATAGTCTGTTAATTCACTTTTTGTCTTATTTTCTGAATTATTAATTTTAAATTTTTAAAAGCTTAAATGAAGATAAAATAGAGAAAAAGAGAGAGAGAAGAATTTACTTTGATAAAATGAAAAAATCGATGATTACGCATATTTTATTGATTATTTCTGTAAATGAATTATACATGATCGAATAATTTGCTTTTACAGAGTGCAAATGATCAAGTGTTTGCATGTGAATTCCATCCGTATACCAAAAATGTCCTGATGTCATACGGTAAAGGTCACTGCAATCTTTGGACCATTGATAGAGCAATACTCATCAAAAAGCCTATTACATTTGAGGTATTGTGAGTAAATTGATATTTAAATAGAAATTTAGGTTTTAAAGGGAAAGTAATCAATTTAAAAGAAGAATACTTAAAGTGTAACATTTATTAATAGCATTGTAAGTAATGGATATTATGGCTAAGAAAATTTCAATTTAAAATAAAATATATATCAATTGATTAATTAATTTCATGAAGGATAGAAAATGAAGTTTCATATTTTTATAAGCAAATTTTTTTAAGTTCTTAACAAAAATTAATGAGTGATCAATACGTAGATGTTACCTTCAATAGTTTTAGGTTAACTAAGAGGATGAAATTATCATTTAAGGACTTTTGAAAACTTTCCAGTTTTTGAGAGTTGAAATTTCTTAAATCAGATTTCTTGACTAACAAAGATATATAATTTTCCACTGGAAACAATTATATGCCTCTGAATTTGTTTAATTACATTAATTTAGGGTCGTAATAAACCAAAATTGGTACTTTGTTCACATTTCACTGAACGTGGACATATCATAACAGGTGATTCCAATGGTACGCTAACAATTTGGGATACATATCAAATTAAACCAATTCGACAAGTATCAAAGGTTATTTAATTTTAATTTGTAGATGATTTCAAGCATAAAATATATTTCTTTAGCGCTATCAAGAGAATTTTTACGAAATTAAATATTTGTCAGTGATCAAAATATATGACAAGTTATTTGGTAAACGAATTACATTTAATTAATCAATAATCAGATGAATGAATTTATTTCATGCCATTATAATATCAGTATAATAAGTGTTACTAAAAAGAATTCTTATGTTATTAGAAGGAATTTCATATTCCAAATTATAATTGTAATTGACCTTAGACTATAATTGGCTGCAATATGAACTATACAATCAAATTACTTCACTTATATTTAATTAAGCGAACAGTGATGCTAATTTCTGTTCAAGAATATTCACGATTATTCTTTAATTTAAGGCTCATAATGGTGGTATTTGGGCATTATGTTTACTTAGCAATGGACATTTTATTTCGGCTGGTAAAGATCGAATGTTATTTGAATGGGAAACTGATGGTTTAACAAAGATTCGTGGTCCTATAACAGTAAGTGTAATGCAGGGGACATTTTTGAAAGAGAAAGTAGAAAATGCGACATAGAATTTATGCTAGATAAAATAAGCTTTACGCATATGTCATATTGATATTTAATCTGTTCTTTCTAAAAAATGTTCTAAAATATTGCTAAAATAAAAGAAAATGAAAGTCGCATGTAATTTTTTTTCTATTAATCAAGTTTTTGTTTCGAATTTCAGTAAATTTTCCATCATTAAAATTGATCAATGACCTATATTTAATTATCTGATCTATACATTTCATTCGTTAAATTTTAGTTTCCGGATGAAGGAAGTGGTTTTATACGTACTATAGCATCAACATCAAGTTCTCGTTTATTCATTGGTACAACACGGAATACAATTTGGAGTGGTACATTGGATAATGGTTTTCAACGAATTCAACAGGTCCATTTTTTAATTTTTTTTTTCAACGGATCAAAAATGATACTTCTGTTTTCAGCACCAATTTTCATTACTTCACTAATTAAATACATCAAATTATTTTTCCTTTTGTTCCTGGATTCATTCGAATATTTTTCGAACTTTTTATTGAAAATTTAAATTTTCACAATTAAAATTTCAATGATAATATTGAAAACAATATAGGCACATGCAGATGCTGTGACACATATTACCTCGCATCCAACAAAACCACAATTTCTTTCTTCCTCAACTGATAACAAATTACGATTGTATGATACGGAAACGAAAACGATACTTTGGAGTTTAAATTTTAAGGTTTATTCTATCTTTTTTTTCTAACAAAATTGAAATATCGAAATTATTCTGATTATGTTTAAATTAAAGGAAAATTTATGAAATTAATATGTTAATAGATAAATAGATAGATAGATCGATTGATCGATTTGGTAGATGAATGAATGAAGGAATTCAAAATCGATTGATCGACTTGATAGATGATTAAATGAAGAGATGGCTATTTTTGATTTTAAATTAAATTTAAATTATTTCTAATTGTTGTTGTTTGTAAATAACTTCTGAAATTTTTTTTTATTAAATCATAGGATGAAATATGTTGCGCTGATTTTCACCCAAATGGTGATATTTTTGCTATTGGTTTTGCTAATGGAATATGGTCCGTGTATAATTGCACAAATCGAATACAATTGTATATCTTTGAGGAAGAAATAAACAATGCAATTACAACGATACGTTTCTCAACAGTTGGCAATTTTTTAGCTGTTGCAACTAAAGTAAGTAAATTTGAATGGAAATTTTCTTCTCAAAGTTTTATTTTGATTTAGCGAAATTTAGAATTGAATTAGTAATATTACAATCATTGCAAATTCGAATTGAAATTTTCTCTTTTCAAATTCTTTTTGATTTATATTTTGATTATCTGTTAAATTGACGCGTTGAAATTTCGAAAATTAACTTTACAATTAATTGTTTTCATGTACTGTTCTTTTTTTTGGCCTTGCAATAGGGAGTAAGTAAAAGTATTACTTGTCAGTTATGATTACTTATTCAAAGCTAAAAGTGATCATAATGATAATATGGAAGATTATTTTGTTTATTCATTTTTAAAATTAGATATTCAACTTTTCTTGCAGGGAAAAAACTTATCAATTTATGCTGTATCGGGTGATTTTCACCATTATGTTAAAGTATCACAGATTACGGTAAATTTGTAATTATTATTGGCATGAAAAAGTTTAAAATTTTTTTTCGAAATATCAAAATGTTCTTGCAGTTTGGGAAAAAAGTTTTGCGAATTATTTAATTTTCCAATTAGTAATTTAGAAATTTAATTCATTAATTTTAGGGATTAAATGCTTCGATAAAGACGATGGATTGGTCAACAGATGGTACATTGCTACGAGCCAATGATGATGATCTTCAGCATTACATATGTAAGGAAGTTGCATACTTTAATTATTTATCTATCCATTTATTTCTTAGCAATAATATTCCGTTTTCGTAACGATTAAATTCGAAATTTTTAATTTGTTGCAATAAATTTTGTGGATTTAAACAAGTTTTGTGGACTTAAATATTTTAAAAGTGTTACAAAATTTTAAATCATTAAATTCAAATTAATAAATATGGGAAAATTATCTTTCAAGTGAGAAATTTCATAATCCATTTTGTGCTACGTTTTGTCGTCTAATGCTAACAAACATTTGGAAAATGTTGTTTTAATTTAGTAGTATAGAAGATTTAATTGTTAAGTATGTTATGGATAATTTTTGAAATTCAGGGAATTCAAGCACCGGTCAACCGGCTATTATACAAGAAGCTGGTAATGTAGAATGGGTTTCAGCAAGATGTCCAGTTTCATTTGAGAATGCTTGCATTTTATATACTTTAATGAAATCTATTGCTGCCATTGATCGTAGTCCTAATAAGGGATATGTTGCAGTAGCTTTATCAAATGGTATGCTTCGTTTTTATCAATATCCGACAACAACAATTATGGTAATTTCTTTTTGCATCCAATATTTATTTTTTTTTTTGAAAAAAAGTCTGAATCCAATTGTAATACTTTCAAAAAATTTATTTTTGCTAGTTAGCTTTTATGTTTTTCAATTAATCTTGAAAGTAAAAAATATTTTTATTATCAGTATGGATTCTAGATTCTAGAATATATGTGGTGATAAGATTTGAATGCTTTTACTAAAAATAATTATTTAGTAACGACTAAAATTTCTTACATTTGTTTCAATTTTATAATTTTCAATGAATTTTCCTTTTCTTTTTTCTCTTATTCTTACTTTTCAATTTCAAATGAGAAAGGAAACTTATACTAAAAATTTATTTTCAGGCTTCATATAAGGAAGTATACGGTTATAGTATCTGTGCACGAAATGTTACCTTTGTTGGAGAATTGTTGATTAGTGATGGTAGTAATGATGGAGCAATTTATCAATGGAAATTATCTGAAGCCTAAAATATCAATTTAGTTTTACAAATGTATTTATGATGTAGATGTAAATTTACATGACTTTCATTAAAATGAATGTCTAGTCCTTCACATTTTCAAAACAATCTGGAGTTAGAATTTATCTAAAGGTAAGATGTGATGCAATTGAATGATCAACAACATCCTTCTTGCATCGTCGTATTTCCTATATTAATGGATTATATCGCTGAAATCCTTATGATTGTTGGAAATTATTTAGATTTTCTGATTAGTAATCAAAGCCAAGATATTTCTTCATTACATTATAAATGTAATCTGATCATGTATTTTTTTTTTTTTTACAGGAAAAGCTGCATTCTAGAATTAATTCTGTAATAATTGGTCAGGAAACAGGATTTCATGAATGATTTATCAGCTATCAAATCATTTCATGTTATTTATTATTTTTAAGTTACCGGTGGTTTTTCTTTTACCAATGTAACAAATAACTTATAGAAGTTCTTTTTTTTTTAATTTTCCGTTAAAATATTACCTATTACCGCTATGTATTGATAACGTTTGGGTGTTATTTAAACTGTACTTGTAGAAAATTGTAATATTTGACATATTTATTCTTTTGTTGTTAAATATTATTTTGTTTCTATTAATTTTTCTGATAAACTTGTAATTTTTTCTGGAATAGAGAAAATCAATATATATATATATGTATATATATATATATATATATATATATATATATATATATATATATATA